GGAGCTGTCCAAGCTCTGGGGTACGGAGCTGTCCAAGCTCTGGGGTACTGAGTTGTCGGGATGCTAAAGCCACAAAATTCGGAAATCTCTTCCTCCAGTTTTTTGTCACGAAAGCCCTGAAATGTGATGAAATACCGAAAGAACCATTTGGTGTGGGCAATTTTCACTATAAAAAAATCACGATAATGATAAAAAAAATTCCAGTTTCCAGTGAATATATCATTATTCCTCCTAAGGATGGAAATAGTTTCTGGGCCTTTTATTTGAGAAAAGATTAGCCAAGGGTTTTACGTTGTTCCTTCGTTCTTGAATCATTGGTGGAGGTTTTTTTTAACCTTTAATACTTAACACTATTAAAAAGTGAAAACTGTTGGGTGTTTTGTTTTGTTTTTTACATGAAGAAAAAGGGACATTGCATGAATCTGAAGCAGTGGGGAATATAGCTTTCACTTTATTGAACACAACAAAATTAAATCTGTGCCTAGAGTTCCGTGTGGTGAAATGAACACAGACTGGAAAAGCTCGAGGTTTCCCATTAAAAGTTCATTTGCTCAGGGACTCTTAACGGGAATCCCTCCTCAGGGAACTCTTTAATCTACTAGAATTTTTTTTTTTTTACTGAAAATGACAGGGAAGAAGAACGGAAGGAGGGAAGACCACATCCACAGGAGTCTTCTAAATCTCTGGATAAATTTAGCCAATCCTAATCTTTCCAATCCAGTGCAAGAATGTGGGTTTATTTCCTACAAAGTTAAGAAATATAGCCATCAATAGTCACTACTGTACATTTCAATGATTTGGATCTCAACGAATAGACGAAACCATAATTTCGTTCATTTCCTATTCCTGTGATTTGAATCTAACATGTTTAAAAGACCTGTTTTAGCTCAACTCGAATTTTCCAAAACGTAAAAACTGAGTACTTTTTAATCTCTCTCTCTCTTTCTTTCTCTTTCTCTCTCTTACTCTCCCTCTCTCCCCTTGCCTCCCTCTTATTCTTTCCCTCATTTTTCTCATGTTTTTCCCAAAAGGCAAAAAAAAAAATTCCTTTCTTATGTCTCTGGGTAATGAAATTACCTAGGAATTTCTCCTTAAGACACAATTAGCATATCCTATATTTCTAGTTAAAATCAGGTGGCCCATAATGATTAAGCTCACTTTTTTGTGCAAGTATTTCCTTATGTTCTATATGTGTGTATATTCATATATATTATATGTATATTATATGTAATATATATTTGACACCGGTGTACATGTATGTACACATACATATATAAAACACTATCCTATGAAAAACACCTAAAAAGTTAGCCATGAACCTGACCAAATAAACTTCAGGAAATGCCTAAAGTTATTACTGATTTAGCACCCTGATCTTCCGCAAAGATCATGTCAAAGGTGAACCCTATTAAAACCCCCTACTCTTTCCTCTCATGGGGATTCTGACTTTCGTTCAATTTGTAGATATGCTGGAAATTTTCCAACACTCCTTGCGCAAGTCCACTACTCAATGTAAGGAAAGGGAGCCACCATGTGGGGAATTTGTTGACTTCAAGTTCTGTTAAAGATGGGGTGAACTCTGCAAATGAGAACTTACTGGTTGGCGAGGGGGATGGGGGAAGAGAACACGGGAAGGAGGAGAGCAACTGGAGGGAACTCCTAAATGTAAAAACTACTTAACGTCTGAAATGAAACCACTTGAGCAAGTTTCTAACCCAGTCTATTTAAGCTCGCTCATTCTGAGGATCAGATCTAAGACCCTTGGAATTTACACATTAGGAGACCCAGATCCGATTGTCTGAACGTAAGACTAAAAAGATTCTTTAACTTTGTATTCAGAGGCACACACAGTGAAGTCAGGATCCGAGGACTCAATGCTGAGCAACAGATGTTTCCGTTGGCTGCTTGCTTTTCTGGGGACAAAGGACAGCGGCAATATTTCATTCCTTTCGCCTCCTTCAAGTCCACAATTGTTTCAAATTTATGACTGAGCTAGTTCCTTGGACTGTTACCAGAACCTTTTCACCAATTTACCTAACTCGACTCCTCCCGGGCTGAGGCTTCTGTGCTATGGTAGGTCTGTCAGGAAAGGGAGAGTGATGGGCAAACGAGACTTTCTGGGATAGAAGACTGAGCTGGACACTATAGGTAAAGCAAGCAGCTATTCCCCATCGTTGCATTTGACAAAATGGTCCCTTCTAGTCACACTCCCGACTACCATCTGGCTCTGTACTTGCTGGGGAGGTCTTGTCCTGAAACTTTTTCTTTGATGCCCCCATGTGGGTAATTTTCCTTCATCTCTAGCTTCAATTTCATACTCATCATTGACTGTTTCACAAATGCATGAGGGTTTGAATTGCGTGCCAACTTCTTGGCTGTGTATATACTTTAGAGATTGAGAGAAGAGGCCAGGAAAGGTCAGACCACCTGCTAAAATAGAGGCTGAGAGAAGACACCCATGGCCAGGCTAAAGGGATTATCAGTCCTGAGCCATTAAAATTATAAGGAAACCATCTGAGGAATTTCCCTCTTTTCCCCTATTTTCCCCATGTTTCCCCTATTTCCAAACACAAACGCAGCCTCTGATTCACACTGTGTTTTGCTCAGAACATGGGGTGGAAAGAGTAGGAAAAGAAGTATGGGCTCCATTGTAGTTCCTCTTCATAAAGAACTTCAACATCCACATTTCTTCCAAAGGGATCTTTGAATTAATTCAAAGAGGTTAAGACTGAAAGAGATCTTAGGGCTCTGCATCCATCAGAACCAACCAAGTCCAAGGAAAGTGGAGAATGGGCCCAGTACCCTTTGCTATAGATTTTAGATGAATTTTACAAGCTCTTTTCAATATCATCTCATTCTCCTATCTAAACAATTCTCAGGCAGTGATATTTCCTATCTAAATGGGAAAGTAGGGAGTGATTTGGACTGGGGGTTGCCACCAATAAGAAAAGTAAGAGGATTTTGGTTTGGATTTTTTGTTTTGTTTCTTTGGTTTGGTTTTTATGGAACCTGTTTATTCACTGTGGTAGAGAAGTCCAGGGGAAAAGCTCCCTCATAGATCAAGAAGTGCATTGCAACTTGTGGTTTTAAAGAATTGCCTGGGGGCACTGAAAGTGTAAGTGACTTGCTGAAAGTTACATAAACTTTAAGTGTCAGACTCCAAAGCCAACTCTGTAGTTCAAATTCAGCTTCAGATACTAGCTGAGTGACCCTGGGTAAGTCACTTAACCTCTTCCTGCCTCAGTTTCCTCAAATATAAAATAGTGATAATATTGGCATCTACCTTGCAGGGTTGTTGTGAGGATCAAATTTGTAAAAAGGGCTTAGGACAGTGTCTGGAACATAGTAGGCACTATGTAAATGCTTGTTCCCTCCTGTCCCTCCCCACTACTCTATTTTGTTTTTCATGGGAGACAATTTATACAAAATAAATGGGGTTACATCAGAGCAGGATAAAGGTGTGTGAGGATGCTTGATGTCTACCCCCTAGCATAATATGGTAGCCCTCAGTAAAGGTTCCTGGAGACACTGAATTTCAAAATGCAGCTATGTCCTCAATTACCTGCTTTAGACCTCAAAGACTTTCATGTCTGGGGTATAAGGATTATTAAATATATAAATGATTATGTTAATCTGACAAAATGTATGCAAGTGGCAAATTATGAAATCTTATAACCTTTTCCAAAACTATCCCCACTGCTCATTGCTTGTCCTTAGGCTTTCAATTTCAAGACCAGGGTGCTGAACCAATGAACAGTTTAAAGAAGAAATTCTCTGCATTTGAAGTGGTGACACTATTTACT